GAGCCGCAGCCCCGCGAGTCACCGCTGGGCCCGGGCCGGCTCCGCTCCCTCTCTTCTTTCTCCTCCCCTCGGCCGCGCCCCGCGATGCCTCTGCAGCCCTGGGCCCGCTACGGAGAGGGCGCCTTCTTCCTGTGGTTTGCAGAGAGAAGACCGAGAGAGATCCGAGAAAGGAGGGACGCCAGCTGCAGCTTCCCGGCTCCTCCCCAGATGAGCCGAGGGCCAGAACCCAGGCCAAGTCCCTCCCCGGAGCCGCTGGGCGTCTGCGCCGCCGGATGAGCTCCCCGCCCGGCGGCGACCTTGTGCCCTACGCTGCCGTCTCCGGAGGGCCCCCGCGCGCCCCGCAGAGGGCGAAGAGGAGGAGGAGGGGGGAGATGGGAATGCTACCGCGGAGAGAACCAGAGGAGACCGATCTGGTGCCCAGACCGGGAGGAGACGCCAGTACAGCCGTGAGGTTCCTTACCCCACCCCGCCCCAAGGGGACCACGCCTGCGCCTTAACCCTGGCGGCGCCGGCGCCCCAGCTAGGGTGCACATGGCACTGAGAGGTACTCGGTGTATGCGGGAGGCGGCACTTCCCTTGGCTTTGGGCGGTGCAGTGTGTGTGAGTGTGCGTGTGTCTCATTTGTCTCAATGCCTGCAATAGGCCACCCACACCCAGAGGAATGGTACTTCCACTACGTGGCCTCTTCTACAACTGCTTCTAGATTTCCAGCACCCAATTGTGAATGTCAGCCTAAAATCAAAAGTAGTATGAGTGGGGAGGAGTTGGAAATACCTCCACTGCCAAGGAAACAAGCCCTGGGACCCTGGTCCCCTGCCCTCAATTCGCCTGCACATTTCCAAAGCGGGAGAATCCCTCTCAATCTGGCCGCCTCTGGGGCAGGACTGACAGGGAAGAGCAACCTCTGAGGGATGAAGGGGCCAGGGTCCCGAGCTCTCTTCTTTTCCATTTACTCACTTGCTACCTGGGCCTCACTGCAGTGGGCCTCAGTTTTCCCTGAATTAAGGGCAATGGGCACATTACTTCTGAAGAATCATCATAGAATTTTAGTGCCTGATATTCGGTAGATGCCCACCAGATACTAGTTGAGTGCAAAGGGTCACAGCCCAGCCAGCCAGATGTCTCTTGGGCAGCGTGAAATATGTGGAAGGACTGAGTCCGGCCCTCCTGGGGATGGAGCTGGGGGTTGTTTTGGGGTGCAAAGCAGAGGCCGGAGGGTGAAAGTTGGTTAGCCCTGGAGATGCGTTCTGTGGAAGTAGGGTTTCACCCCATGGAACTGGGGCTCATCCTTCCTTCCTCCCATGCACACTAGTGGCACACTTGTGTATAGATAGGGTAACCCAGAGAGACCAAGGAGATGATGTCAGAGCTGAGATGGAGGGTGAGAAGAAGCCGCCCTCACCCCCCACACCAAGATCTCGGGGAGAGAGCAGCCGGGAAAGATGCCTCATAGCAAACCAGCAAGTGTCTCCCTTGGTCTTGGGTGTCTGTAGCCCAGCCATGGTCTGCAGGCAGATGGCAGGGCAGGCATCTTGTGGCCTGACCCAATGAACCACCCACATCACCCAGGATCCCTGCACACTTATCTGCACTGCCTCCCCTCCCCCATCTGGAGTCTCTAGGAAGCCAGGATGGTATCTGGACTTTTCCGTTCACCACTGGATGGCTCCCTTGCACAGTTCTTGGTTCACAGCAACCATCACCTCCTTAGAGTAGCATCCTCTAACCAACTAGATCATTTGGAAGTGCCCCACTTTTCCTACCCTACCGTCTCCATTTATTATCCTGGCCACACCCATCACTATCTTAAACTACTATCTTCTCCTTGTATTTATTATTTGTCTCCCCTCAAATGCATATGCTCTACTAAGAGCACAGTCTCCAATGATGCCTTGTTCAGTTATACCTGAGGTGTTTGGGGGGGGGGCGGTGAGGCAGCTGCAGAACAGCTGCTCAAAGAAGAAACCACAAGCCAAGATCCCACTTGAGATGAGGTGTCAATAGGCTCAGGTGACACATGCGAAAAAAGTCTTTGACAGCAGAGTGCACCCCACAAGAGGAGAAAGGAGGATAAGTCTTTGGCTAGATCTTTCTTCCTGGTTCCTTTACACCTTGAGGATTAATTTGATTTGGTTCAGTCCAGTTTGTCTATGGAAATCACAAGGAGCAAAACGCATGCACACACACACATGCAAAAAGGATATACACATACAAATACACAGACTCAGAGATACACACACACATAAACATGTCACACAGACACACACATACGTAGACATGTCCAAACACATACACATAGATACACAGTGATGTACGCAGATGTACATACATAGACACACACATAGACACAAACATATAGACACACACACATCTGCACAGACAGGCACTTACACGGGACCTAAACCTCCATTAGGCCTGTTCCTTATTATTCTGAGGCCCCACCTGGACAGACTGGGCTGCTCAGGAGAGGGCATCTACAGACAAATATGTGGCCCACATCGGACACCAGGGGATGGCTCTGGGGACTTTTTTCTTCCTAAAGCTAGAATGCCAATGAACTAATGTAAAATAGGTCCTGTGGTGAGAGGAATTACATATACTAGATAAGTAAAATGGGGTACAGGAGAAAGAGCAATTAGTTCTAGATATGAGAGACTGCTGTTTTATAAGATGGTCAGGAAAGGCCCCCAAAGTGACATGGAATAGAAACTTGACCTTGAGGGAACGTGGGCTGGTGTTCTAGCAGGGGGCAGTGCAGATTCAGAGGGTCTGGGGTGAGCATGTGTGACACTCAGGGAAGAGCCAAGAGGCCTGAGAGGTGGAGTTGACTGAGAACCATGGGGGCCTGGGCTGGGGACAGTGTGCAGGGTTGGCGTGGAAGTCAGTCAGAAGGAATCCTGACAGAAGTAGGGGAGTGTTGTGTTGTGAGAAGAAAAAGATAACTTTCTCTCTGTTCATAGTTTTTCATTGTGATATCCCCTGTGACAAAAGACAGATTAACAAGGAAAAAAGTGAACAGTTTAGTAACATGAGTAGCTCATGTATATCTGGGAGATACCCAGGGAAGAGTGAGTGAATCTCAAAGATGTGGCTTTGAGTTCAGCTTTAAATATCATCATCCACTGAAACAGAGAAAGAAGGGTGTGAGGGAGGCCCAGATGTGGGGAGGTGCTCAGAAAGAGCCCTGCCATGAAGGCAAGACCTGTTGTGCAGACTGAAGTCAGTGCCTTCTCTACTGGTAAGAGTCTAGAGGTGTAGAGTCTTCCTCTTCCTGGTACAGAGTGGGAGATACCCTTATAAATGGAGGTGGACTGGACTCAGGTGAGGGATGCCAAGTTCTAGACCTCAGGGGGTTCACAGGGGCTCTCTAAGGATGCTCGGAGGGTGTCTCTACCACACCTTCTCACTGTCAGCTCAGGCCAAGGAGATCTGCCCAGGAGACCCTGGGCTCGTGAGGCTCAGCAGCTGCCCTGCAGTGCCCAGGAGGGGTGCAGGATCAGTGAGGCACTTCACAGGAGGCCCTGTGACTGGGCAGAAGACAGATAAGGAGTTCCCAATGAGCCAGGGAGGGAGAAGGGCATTCCCAAGCAGAGAGAGCTGGCCTGGGCATAGAGTGCAGGGATGGGTCTTTGTTCAGTCTCTGATGGATGGGGGCTTACAACAGGGGAAGATCCCACCTGCTTCTTACCAATCGGGGTGTCTGTGAGTTTCATGCCTGGGTTTCATACCACCTCTACCCCAATCTTCAGCCTATTGCTCTTTTGAGTCCTTGTTAAAGTTCAGGACTCCTCAGAAGAGATGAGCTAGATGCCCCAGGACCCTGGGTGTACAGATCTGCCCACTGGCCTGGCTAAGGAGCTGCCATTGACATTTTCAAGAAAAATGTTGCTGCTAGGTAAATGGAGGTGGGAACAGGGAGCTGCAATGCTGCACAGGTAGTACTTAAAAAGTACAAGGGAAAGGAAAGAGAAAGAAAGAAGCATGTTCAGGAGTAGTTGCATGCAGAGATGTTGGAACAGAACTAAACAAACTAAGGCGCTGATTCTGTGAAGTGGTCATTGGATAGTACAGACAATGGTGGGCAAGAGACCCTGGGCTAAAAAGTTTATGTGATGGGATGGGAATAGAAGAGCTGGAAGAGAAAGCCATCCTAAGAACTGCAGGCCAGAGGGATGAG